CCCGCGGGGGCGGCTTCCCCGGAGGGGTGCCGGGGGCAGGCGAGGGAGGCCGGAGGGCTGTGCTCGGAGTGATTATGTAGCAGGTAATTTTACGTCAGGGAAGAAAGAGCGAACAAGGCGAGGGATTTGCGGGGGGGCAGGGATATGTAAGATTTACAATGAGCTACGGTGAACTTAATATTAACTTTGCGGTTCCCAAAACTCTCCTGGGTTGCACGTTTCCAGTCCGCCACGGCGAGCGTTATTTTCTGTAACCTTTTTTTCTGACTGCAGGCTGCAGCAGCCCGTGCTCTGGCTCTCTTTTAGGACGTTCATCTGCTCCCCCAGCATGATCTCTCTTCCCTTGTAACTGCGCAGTTATCTCTCGCCTCGTCTGCCGGCTCCTTTACAAGGGTCCCGGTGCCAGGCGGGTGGCTTTTCTGCTCCCCGGTGCCGGGGCGAACTGCAGACATTCAGGGCTGGGAAATGCGTGGCATCCCTCTGTACCGTAGGCAGGCGAGGAAAAAAGTTAAAGCTTTTTACATAAAGAGTCCGCTCTAGGTGTTTTTGGCAATTCCCGGGGAAGCGCAAGGTTTCCCACCTTTTCCATAATAGAATTCGGGTTCGTATTTTAAACCCTTACTTAAATCATCTCAACTTAAACCAAGCTGGCTCTCTCTCCAGGTCCAGGGCCGCATTACCTGCCTGCCTTCCCCTGCCGCCGCGCCTAAGGAAGTGGCTCCCGAGGAGACCCGGCACGGAGCGTAGGTAGATGTGCAATTGCCCATAAAAAGATAAGGGAGCCCCTGCGCCGTTTCGCCGCCCCTGCTGACAGTGGGGAGGTTGCGGGGTTACAACAACCAGACAAAAGTGATGTGCCCTCCCTCCCGTCGGGTCAGGCAGCCCGGCTCTGCGCTCCGGCGTGGGTCTGTGTTTACAGACACTTGCCTTTGTTTATAACACTTGGAGAGAAGAATCTCCCCCCCCGCCTTGTTTGCTTTTCCTTGCCTGTTAGTTGCCCAGCTGATAAACTGGAGCATCTCGCACTCCCTCTGCTTGCCCGAACTTTTTTTTTTTTCACGGCAAGCAAAAAAAAAAAGGGGGGGGGGTGGCTGCGAGGGCTGCAGTGCAGCACGTCCCGGGCAGCCTCCCTGCAGATGCTGTGTCTTTCTTTGACCGAGTCGCCGGGCTGCAGCTCCCCCGGGGGATGCGTGGCGGGGCGGGGGGAGGCGGCGGGAGGCTCCGCACCCCACGCCCCACCGCGGCGCGGAGCCTCCCGCCGCCCCCCCGCCGCCTGGAGAATCCCCTCTCCGAAATTTCCCCATCAATAATTTTCCATTTTTGAAACGTTTATTTCTCAGAACCGGGAGCTCCTCTGGATCCGCTAAGGAGGATCTCTTTTAATTGCTCGCTAATGAGGATGTTGCCATTTTCTCAGGAGCAGTCATTCCCGCAGCTAAATCACAAGAGCCCTAGACAGGCCGGAGCCGACAAAAATGTAGGTTTTGACGTTAAAAGCTAAATGGGGAAGCAGAAGGTAAATTGATGGTAGATGGGGATGTCAGTGCTCTGGCCCCAGCTCTCCGCCAGTGGAGCCCGGGCCTGATAACAGCGGAGGGCTGCGCCCGCACCCTGCCCGCACCTGGGGGCATCGCCGCCCCGGCGGCCTGCCCGTTAATTCCTGGGGGCCAAAGCCTTTGGGGGAGCTTTTTCAGAGGTAAAAGGCACTTAGGAAGAGGGATGGTAGCCTGCCCCCCTCGGCAGCATTTCTCTGCGCTGTGCGGGTGGGGGGAAGGAAGAAAGAGAGGAGGGACGGGGGGCCGGTGCAGCGCAGCCGGGTCCTTGAAACCCCTGTCCCCGCAGACGGGCTTATGGAGCCAATTTCCTCGGATTTTAGCCAGTCGCCTCTTTTCATGGCTGGGGGAGTGAGAGCCTTCGCTCTGCCTCAAGAGAAAATAACATTTTGATATTTTTTTTTTCTTCCCCTCGAAGAGACACAGCAGCAAACCTCCCCCGGGTGGTGAGTGTCCCGCTTCCCCTGCCCTCCCAGGAAGGCTCCCCGGCATGGGAGCCCGGCCCCACGCCCGAAAACAGCGCGGCCGCTCTCCCCGCAGGTCCCCCGAGGTCCCCGGTTTAGGCAAAAAAGCAGCCCGGTTTTTTAGAGTTGGTCGGGTTTTGGGGGAGCGGGGAGGCAGCGAGGGGCCGGCCCGCTGGCCCGCCGCCGGCAGCGAGCGCCAGGCGGCCGCTGGCGGCACTGGGTTTTGGGGGGCTCCCTGCAACGTGCGGGACCCCCAGCCTTGCCCCTACTTTTGGGCTTGTGTTGCGTGCCCTCGTTGCTATCGGACGCGCATGGCATGCCTGCATTCCTGCAGGCCGGGCAGATGAACGGTGGTGGGGCTTTTTTTCTTCGTTTTGCTTTGTGTTGTGCGCTTTTTTCACCCCTTCCTTCCCAGGAGCTCTTCTCCGCGCCAAAAGATTATTGCAATAATTAGTGCTAATTTGCTATCCTTGTCAAAGAGGTGTAACGGGGCCTCTCCGGCCAAGCCGCAGACACTCCTAGAACAAGCGCCGAGACGTCCACGGGCAACTCTAAGCATATAAACACGGCCAGGGGATGCCATGGAGACAACGTGAGCTTGAAAGGTGGGCGGGGGGCGGGAGGAGGTTAATAATAAAACGTCTAAGCAAAATATCCTCCTTTTGCGCTTGGAAACCTAACCTTAATCCTCCTTTTTCACACGTACTCGCCCGGCGACTCACAAATACGCGCAGGAGAAACCTCCAAGTAGCGATGGGAAGGAAACGCATTCCGCACGCCTGCAAACATAATCCCCTCTGCTGTAACAAGGGGCTTATCAATGTTTTATATATTTTTAATTTGGGATTATTTTTTTTTTTTTGCGGGCCATGAAATATGTGCCTTCACAAACGAGCTCCGATCTTTTCTATTTCTAATTGGCCAATTACTGTTCAGCTGTTTCAGCTCGTCCCGTACAATGGAGATTAAAGCAGAGTTGTTATCTGAATTATATATTCACATAAATTCTAGCAAAGCCGGGAAATGCGCGGGGCCAACACCTCTCTGGGAATCCCTGTGCCCCCCTCTCCCCCTTCCAAACCAGCGTGGTGTGTGTCTCCCTCTTGCCCAGCTCCCCCCCCCCGGTTTTCCTCTAGAAATGTCGTTGCTTTGATGATCCGATTGTAGAGCATTGATTACAAATTTATTCTCAGACACTATATAAGTCTTTATATCTGCTATTAGAGACATCTGGGAATGATTAGAGCCCTCCCTCCCCCGGCTCTGCTCCCTCTATCTTGCAGCGAGGAGCTAGAGACATGTTGACGTCAGATCAGACGGCTAGGAGCCATCCTGCTCTCCACTTGGGTGTAATCACGGCGGCGCTTTCCAAGCTCCAGCCCGGGCCGCGGCCGCCAGCTGGGATGCGGGTGCGGCGGGACGCGGGGCTCCCGCCCCCGGGGCTCCTCGGCACATCTCGATTTTGAGCCCCCGGAGGCTCCGGCTCTTCTGGAGTTTGCCGCCGAAGTTGTTTGTTTATTTGTCTGTTTGGGATTTTGAGAAAGCAAAAGGGGTGCATTCCGCGGGCGGTGCTCCCCCCCCCCCCCC